CTTCCTCTTTTTGTGCTTGACCATTGTATGAAGTTGTTTTGAATTTCAACCAGTATGTTTTAAGTTATGCTCCAGACAAGGAAAAGTATCAAAGGGCAGTAACTCTGTATTTTGTCAAAATGGAGTTATGGCTCTTATGCACTTCACTTCCTTTCAATGTCCTTGACAACTGTGTGAAGTTGTAATGAATTCCAAACGGTAGTTTTCAAGTTAATCTCTGGACAAGGAAAAAAAAGGGCAGTAACTCTGTAATAAGTCAAGATGGAGTTATGGTTCTTGTGCACTGCACTTCCTCTCAATGTGCTTAACCATTGTATGAAGTTATAATGAATTCCAACAATTAGTCTACAAGTTATGCTCCGGACAAAAAAAAGCAATGGAAAAGTAACAAAGGGCAATAACTCTGTAATTACTTTAGATAGATTTATGGTTCTTATGCACTGCACTTCCCCTTACTGTGTTTGACAATTGTATGAAGTTGTTTTGAATTCCAACCAGTAGTTTTCAAGTTATGCCCCGGACAAGGAAAAGTAACAAAGGGCAATAACTCTGTAATTTTTTGTTTGTTTGTTTGTTTGATTTTACGCCTTTTCTCAGCAGTATTTCAGTCAAACTCTCTCTGTAATTAGTCAAGATAAAGTTATGGTTCTTGTGCACTGCACTTCCTCTCAATGTGCTTGACCATTGTATGTAGTTATATTGAATTCCAACCATTAGTCTTCAAGTTATGGTCCGGACAAAAGAAAGCAATGGAAAAGTAACAAAGGGCAATAACTCTGTAATTACTTCAGATAGAGTTATGGTTCTTATGCACTGCACTTCCCCTTACTGTGTTTGACAATTGTATGAAGTTGTTTTGTATTCCAGCCAGTAGTTTTCAAGTTATGCCCCGGACAAGGAAAAGTAACAAAGGGCAATAACTCTGTAATTAGTCAAGATAGAGTTATGGTTCTTGTGCACTACACTTACTCTCAATGTGCTTGACCATTGTATGTAGTAATATTGAATTCCAACCATTAGTCTTCAAGTTATGCTCCGGACAAGGAAAATGCAACGGACGTCTGGACCGACCACCGGGTGACTCCTATATACCCCCCCAAACTTCGTTTTTGGGGGTATAATTAACAGATTTTTACCAGAAAAGCAGACAAGCTTATTGCAGGCTGTCCAGCACCTTCTGACAAAAAATAAGGGAAAATTTTAGGGCAATTTTAAAAAAATTTAGGGCTAAAATTAGGAATTTTAGGGTGTATTAAAGAAATTTTAGGGCTAAAATTTGGAATTTTATAACTAAATTATGGCCTAAAAAGACCATGATATGGGCTCAACTTTGCATATTTGACACAAAAGTAACTCACAAATAATGCTCTAGTTCGCTTATAGCAAAGGTGTTACCAGTGTTCCATAGTCACAAGTGAATAAATCGATCCACTGGTCAACTGCCTTTAAAAAGAGCTGAAAAACTACATTAAAACATAACTAGAATGAAAACATTTTCAAAGTTATATTAGTATCCCAGCAAAACCAATATTCAATTAGTTAAGATTTGATTAGCCAATAATAAATGGAAGGGGAAATTATGTTTTAAAGTCATTTTAGCTATACATTGTAAATGCATTTCTTATCAACATTTATTCATTTGGAGGTTGGTACATTTTCAACAAGTCTTGATCTTTCTTAAAAAACAATAAAAACGATATGACTCACTCAAGTCATTCCCAGGAATATTTAAACTTAAATTCAAACAGCAGGGTATACACCTATGAAGAATTTGTTCAAGATAAATCAGGCTACTAAAATTGTAGTAAAATAACAACAGTGTTAGTTTTTTCAATGCTTTTCAACATTTTTTTTCCAGATTTTAAAAACTTACACTATATGCTATAACATATGTTCAGTAAATGTTAATGTGTACAAAAAGGGCAGCTGAAGGTGTCATTTCTTAGTATGCTAATTGGGCAGCAAAATGGCTAAAGCATCAAATCATTACTGCCAGTTTCCTGTAACCCACTTTATAATAAGCAATGAAAACTTGTCTAGATCTGCCAGCTGGTATCACTTACAAAAGATCTGTTCTACAGTTATCACTTGAAAATAACTTGATTATAAATTAAGATTTTATCAATAAGGACCCCTACATAAAGTCTGATGAAATTTAGTGGTACATCATGAAAATAGTTGCTTTAAATACACCTAAGACTGAGGTAAATGGTAAAACTCTGTAGCCAATAAAAATGTAACTTCCTTGAAAAAAATTTTATCACAATTTTAACCCTTTCGCTGCCAGAGGGTTATTGTTTTACTGATCACCTATTTGCCAGAGGGTTTTCTAAGAAATTACTATATTATTAATTAATATAATTATTATTATTTGTTATAATTTGTATATTTGTTAGTATAATAATAATTATTGTCGATGGTACAATTTTCTTTATATTTATTATTATTATTGATTTATTATTAATATTATTATTATCATAGAAACGGCAAAAGCCCTCCATATGGCAAATACGCTGAAAATAACAGGGACGACATAAGCCGTCCCTATGGCAGTGAAAGGGTTAAACAGGTGACTATTTTGATATAGTCAAAGTCGTACAATTTTCATTGTTCCATTTAAAACAAACAGTTTCTTATTGTTTTTCTGAAAACATCTGACAATCAAGTATAGCATTTCTGCAGGAGTTGAAGTAAATACAACATATGACTTTATGTAATTTAATGACATCAGCTCCACTGTTTGAATATCGGTTGTGATTGAAACATGGTTGTTTCGGGATATGTTTATCACAAAAGATAAAAACAAGAGGGCCATGATGGCCCTATATCGCTCACCTTAAGGAATAGATCTTATAAATATTTTTCTTTTTAAAAACAAGCAACAGGTGTATAAAATTCTTTAATGTCATTTAAAGGTTAGTGACAAATGTAAAGTATTTTTGGCCAAAAGGAATGCAAACAAGTGTATAGAAATACCTCTTTTTTTCTTTTCTTTAAAGTACAGGTTGCTAAAAAATACACTCCTAATAGCGTGTTTACATCATGAAAATTTAAACAATGACATCATAATTAACAAGACGAAGTACAAATTTGGATAATACTTCAAGAACAAGAGGGCCATGATGGCCCTGAAGTCGCTCGCCTGTATATAGGCCCCCTAAGCGGGGCCAGTTTAAACCTCAGGGCTTTTATTTGAACAAACTTGGAAGACACCCATTAGAAGATGTTTCATGATGTTATGATGTTAAGTTTTTACTACACACATATAATCAAAAACAATGACCTCTGCCCCCTTCACCTCCCCCCCCCCCCCGGGCAGGGCCAATTTTAACCCAAGGGCTTTTATTTGAACAAACTTGGTAGACACCCACAAGAAGAATGATGTTTCATGCTAAACATCTAACCTCTAGCTCATTGGGTTTTTTAAAAGAAGATTTTTTAAGTTTTTACTATACACATATAGTTAAAAACAATGACACCTCTGGGGCGGGGCCAGTTTTGACCCCAGGGCTTTTATTTGAATAAACTTTGTAGACACTTACTAGAAGATGTTTCATGCTTAATATCTAAACTCTAGCTATTTGGGTTTTTTCAAAGAAGATTTTTAAGTTTTTGCTATACACATATAAGGAAAATCAATGACCCTCGAGGCGGGGCCAATTTTGACACCAGGGCTTTTATTTGAACAAACTTTGTAGACACTCACTAGAAGATGTTTCATGCTTAATATCTAAACTCTAGCTATTTGTGTTTTTCAAAGAAGATTTTTTAAGTTTTTGCTATACACATATAAGGAAAATCAATGACCCCCGGGGCGGGGCCAATTTTGACCCCAGGGCTTTTATTTGAACAAACTTTGTAGACACTCATTAGAACATGTTTCATGCTAAATATCTTAGCTCTAGCTCTATTGGTTCTTTAAAAGAAGATTTTTAAGTTTTTACTATATGCATATAGGGAAAATCAATGACCCCCTGGGGCGGGGCCAATTTTGACCCTAGGACTTTTATTTGAACAAGCTTGGTAGACACTCATAAGAAGATGTTTCATGCTAAATATCTTAGCTCTAGCTATTTGGGTTCTTTAAAAGAAGATTTTTTAAGTTTTTACTTTATGCATATAGGGAAAATCAATGACCCCCTGGGGCGGGGCCAATTTTGACCCCAGGGCTTAAATTTGTTAAACTTGGTAGACACTCACTAGAAGATGTTTCATGCCAAATATCTAAGCTCTAGCTCTTTGGGTTTTATAAAAGAAGATATTTAAAGGTTTTTTTCTTTCGGTTGCCATGGCAACCAGAGTTCCGCATGGAATTAAATTCTTTGAACAATTTTTAAAGGTGACCACTAAAGGAACATTCCTGTGAAGTTTGGATGAAATTGGCTAAGTGGTTTATGAGGAGATGTCATTTAAAGTAAAAGTTTATGGACGGACGCGGTCAGACGCCGGACGAAAAGCGATCACAAAAGCTCACCCTGTCACTTTGTGACAGGTGAGCTAAAAATAAGATCACTGGTAACTTAAACATTATAACTGTAAGATATCAGTTTGTAAAATTTGTATAAACTACCTACTGAAATAACCTAGAGCTAAAGTCAGGCCATAAAACTACCTAATTTACAGGACTAATACAATTAATCACATACCTTAATCATATACTTACTAGTATTTTGTCACTCCTTAAAAATGGTATTGCACAGCCATGCATATATTTTGATGTTACATCATTTTTATTATGTAAACATAGCCTTAAGACGCACTAAATGTGAGCCTTTTGTCTATGGAAAATGTTTCCTTTTCACTTCAAACGGTTAGTATATGATAAATAGAACATTAAATTTGTGTAAGTTTAATACTATATCTATTGAACTCGTTGAATAAAGTAATATTATGCTCGCCAAAAGCTTGCAAAACATTATTTTATTCAACTAGTTCAATAAATTGAGTATTTAACTTATACTCATTTAATATCCTCTATATAGAAGATTCACACTTTGTACCTGATTAACTTGTTGAAGAAGCTTCATTTTCTGTGCCCATACATCTTGAAAACCAACGACAAACACTGTCACCTGTTGTTGATATTTCTTCTTCTTTACAGTGTCCGTAATAATCTCTTCTAGTTCTTTCTGTAAACACAACAAGATCACATGACCAAGTCACATGGTTTTCAATCACAACAATTTAAAAAGTATCATTATACAGGTTAAAGTGAAACAAGAGGGCCATGATGGCCCTGAGGTCGCTCACCTGTATATAGGCCCCCCAACCCCCCCCCCCCAACATTGCTGGGCCAATTTAACCCAAGGGCTTTTATTTGCACAAACTTGGTAGACACTCATAAGAAGATGTTTCAAGCTAAACATCTAAGCTCTAGCTCATTGGGCTTTTTAAAAGAAGATTTTTTAAAGTTTTTACTATACACATATAGTTAAAAACAATGACACCCCTGGGGCCGGGCCAGTTTTGACCCCAGGGCTTTTATTTGAACAAACTTTGTAGACACTTACTAGAAGATGTTTCATGCTTAATATCTAATCTCTAGCTATTTGGGTTTTTTCAAAGAAGATTTTAAGTTTTTGCTATACACATATAAAGAAAATCAATGACCCCCGTGGCGGGGCCAATTTTGACCCCAGGTCTTTTATTTGAACAAACTTTGTAGACACTCACTAAAAGATATTTCATGCTTAATATCTTAACTCTAGCTATTTGGGTTTTTTCAAAGAAGATTTTTTAAGTTTTTGCTATACACATATAAGGAAAATCAATGACCCCCTGGGCGGTGCCAATTTTGACCCCAGGGCTTTTATTTGAACAAACTTGGTTGACACCTATTAGAACATGTTTGATGCTAAATATCTTAGCCATAGTTCTTTGAGTTCTTTAAAAGAAGATTTTTTAAGTTTTTACTATATGCATATAGGGAAAATCAATGACCCCCCGGGGCGGGGCCAATTTTGACCCCAGGGATTTTATTTGAGACACTTATTAGAACATGTTTCATGCTAAATATCTTAGCTCTAACTCTTTTGGTTCTTTAAAAGAAGATTTTTTAAGTTTTTCTTATATGCATATAGGGAAAATCAATGACCCCCCGGGGCGGGGCCAATTTTGACCCCAGGGCTTTTATTTGAACAAACTTGGTAGACACTTATTAGAACATGTTTGATGCTCAATATCTTAGCCATAGCTCTTTGAGTTCTTTAAAAGAAGATTTTTTAAGTTTTTACTATATGCATATAGGGAAAATCAATGACCCCCCGGGGCGGGGCCAATTTTGACCCGAGGGCTTTTATTTGAACAAACTTGGTAGACATCCATTAGAACATGTTTCATGCTAAATATCTTAGCTCTAGCTCTTTGGGTTCTTTAAAAGAAGACTTTTTAAGTTTTTACTATATGCATATAGGGAAAATCAATGACCCCCCCAGGACGGGGCCAATTTTGACCCCAGGGCTTTTATTTGAGACACTTATTAGAACATGTTTCATGCTAAATATCTTAGCTCTAACTCTTTTGGTTCTTTAAAAGAAGATTTTTAAGTTTTTCTTATATGCATATAGGGAAAATCAATGACCCCCCGGGGCGGGGCCAATTTTGACCCCAGGGCTTTTATTTGAACAAACTTGGTAGACACTTATTAGAACATGTTTGATGCTCAATATCTTAGCCATAGCTCTTTGAGTTCTTTAAAAGAAGATTTTTTAAGTTTTTACTATATGCATATAGGGAAAATCAATGACCCCCCGGGGCGGGGCCAATTTTGACCCGAGGGCTTTTATTTGAACAAACTTGGTAGACATCCATTAGAACATGTTTCATGCTAAATATCTTAGCTCTAGCTCTTTGGGTTCTTTAAAAGAAGATTTTTTAAGTTTTTACTATATGCATATAGGGAAAATCAATGACCCCCCCGGGGCGGGGCCAATTTTGACCCCAGGACTTTTATTTGAACAAACTTAGTAGACACTCACTAGAAGATGTTTCATGCCAAATATCTAAGCTCTAGCTCTTATGGTTTTTTAAAAGAAGATATTTAAAGTTTTTTCTTTCGGTTGCCATGGCAACCAGTGTTCTGCATGGAATTAAATTCTTTGAACAATTTTTTAAAGGTGACCACCAAAGGAACATTCCTGTGAAGTTTGGATAAAATTGGCTTAGTGGTTTATGAGGAGATGTCATTTGAAGTAAAAGTTTACGGACGGACGCCGGACGGACGCTGGACGAAAAGCGATCACAAAAGCTCACCCTGTCACTTTGTGACAGGTGAGCTAAAAACTGAGATGAGATATTTCTAGTTGTATCATATTTTGGGAACCTTTCTGTTGAAAATGTGTTATTTTTACATATACATGCACAGTGTGTTAACTGGAGTACAGGTATTTATAGTTACATATGTACACGCACTCCAGAGCATACCCATTGATTGGCTCATTTTGTCTGTAGTTTACTTATTGTGATGACAGAGAAAGGGATAGTAATAGAATAAACATATTCAGATGCTAGTTCATTGGTTACTTTTTCTGGGATTTCATATGTGACAACAGGGAATGTGTTTTTATTTTTGCCTATGATTCAAAAGAGAAAGAACATTAAAACCCTCGCCAATCTGATTTACACTTCGGGGCATCAGATAGCCTCGTGATTCAATTCTCTTTCTATTACTTAAATGGCCATGTTTGTTTGTTTCATTTTACGCCTTTCCCTAACAGTATTTCAGTGACAGTCATATAGGCAGGTAGTTTCCTAACCATCGTTCCTGGAGAGTTACACCAGTACTAGACTACCTTCCTCCGTGCTAAACTACCAAAGCATCTCCCGGGGATCAAACCCACGCCAGAGAGGTAACTGGTTTAGAAGTCATCGAATCTAACCCCTGGACTACGGAGGCGGTCTTAAATGGCCATGGTTAATATTAACCATAGAAAGGTTGACAAACTCTTACATATTCCTTTAAGCATAAGCAATTAGAGTAAATCCACCAGCAATTGTAAAACTTCATTGTACATGTATATCTGTATAATTTCCTCACAAGTTCATAGTCCCTGGCAGGGTTCAAACCAAGAGCTGACAGCAAAAGAGGTGGCTTATGTGAAAATTTGAACAAATATGAAATAAGATAGAATACTTACAATATCCTCAATATATTCTACATTAGGAGAGCCTCTTGGATCATCAAACATGGTCTGGGTAGACATTTCATAGGACAAATAGATCTGAAATGGTAAAGGAATGGAATTGTTAAACAGCACCTGATACATGTAACCTTCATGTTTTTTATTAACTAATTAGGAAATAGATATCAATTCTGAGTGCATTGTTGTAGAATAATGCACGGTTTGAGTTCAAATGCGTTGTAATATAATCACGAAGGCCGATAGGCCTGAGTGATTTATTACAAAGCATTTGAACGAAAAACGTGCATTATTATACAATAATGCAGGAAAAATCAATATCTATTTCCATTCTAACACGTCAAGAAAAATATAATTATTATTATAAAGTTGGCATTTATGTTTGGTGGTTTAATTTGTTTTTGCCTCAGAGTTTCCGATAGAAACGTTCTTTAAAGGCTGTTCCAATGGGTTGAGAAAAAAACTGTCGTTAAATCTACCGTGTTGAGAATAACGTATTTTGAAAACGTTGATAAAACTTTGTTTATTTTATTTCACTCTATAATTTTTTAAGCGAAATACAAATTATTAAAACTGAAATAAATGTAAAACTTAACTTGTTTGCAACATTAAAATAGCATACTTGATTTGATTGTTTTGCACGTGCTGTTTGGCGCTACATTGTGACGTCACGTAAACAACACTTTAAACGTCTGTACAGCGTTAACGACTGAATAAAAGATATTGGTGTTCGGATTAATTTTCTTAGTTAGACCAATTTCTTTCATTCTAGATAGTTTTCACAACAAAATTCGACAAAAAATTGTTTTTATTTATCAGATTTTTCAAACAAAATGGCGCCCTCAATGTGAAAATACACAGGGAGATAATAAGAACGGCGAGTGCATTGTTGTACAATAATGCACGCTTCGGGCATTCTTTGTTTATATAGAAAATTTTCCGATAGTGTTAGAATTAAAACTAATTAAAACAAAAGTACAAACAAAAGCATCATAACCATCAACAAAATCAAAAGTTTCATTTGGGACATGTAAGATTGTTATGTTTTAGGTTTTCCTACCAAATACAAGAAAAGAACTTACTGACTACTGGTAATCTGCCATTGCATATGAAAATGAGTTTTATAAAAATTACAATAAATAAGAAAAGAATTTTGTTAAAAAAAAAAACCCAACACTTCCAAGGCCACAAGTGCCAAACTTCACTTAAGAATATTTTCTGATAGCTACCTGGAGAACATTCTAACATGGAGAATTTCAAGGTCCATAGCAAGACTCAAACCCACAGCAGTGAACAGCAAATCTACTCTGCCAGATAGCGCCCTATATCAAGAATGGTGTTCATAGAGATTAAGTTATAAGTAATAGCTTACATTGTCCACCGTGTCCATAACTTTGTCCAGTTCTTCTTTAGTCTCATCTGCCACTCTCTGTGCCAGGGACCGGGTGTTCTTGTCGATGATAGCCTTTGCCGGGGCATCACCTCAGTCAATGATCGATATACTTCCAACATAATTCATCTTTCTTGTTACTGGTACATCACAAATATCAATGTTATATTATTACAGGCTGAAACAAAAATTATAACTTACTTCATATTTTTCAAAATCAATTTTTGACTGTGGCTGCATGAAATAGAATAACTTTTTACTTTGATTTGATTTGCAGGTTTTCATAAATATGGTATTGTAACAGACTTTGTCTTTTTGTTACAATGCCCTCTATGTATAATGGCTACCAATTGCCAATATCAATTTAGGGGAAGGCATACAACCTATGATTATCGGTATTTATAACTTGTAAAAAAGTTGGGGCTGCACCTTAGAGGCTGTGAAGCCTTACAACATAGGGTATACAGATGCATTTGCAAAGTAGTGTAAAATTTAACAGACCATGCACATCTAAGATGTCCGAACATGAAGTTATGAAAATTAATCAATGTAACATATGTTATAACTGCTTTAAAAGACTAAGCTTTATATCTATTGACCAACTATGGAAGCAAACATAAGACCCATTTGTTTTCATATGTCCCAGCATATGTAGATCTATAGCCTACATGTATATTTGTTATATCATTCATACATAGAAAATGAAGCAATTTATTGCCTTAATCTAAAATTAACCCTTGGTGAAGGGCTGGGAATAGCAGATCAAATGATGAATCAATGCAATAATGGTTTTGGGTGTCAAAATGGCTAGCTGGGATACATGTATGTATTTCCCATGGTGTGGCATTTATTGGGAATTCTAATATTCAAAAGTCATAATCTCACCTATTACCCATGGGTGGGGTATTGTTGTTAAAAAACTGACTAGCACATAATGTGCACTCTTATAAAATGTCACATGTACATGTAATTGATTCAAAATAAATTCACAAACTTGTGACAAAAGTTTTTCAATCAAAACAAATCACTTTTAAACTACTATATCCATGCATCAGTCATCTTACTTGACTTAAAGCGCTTATCTAGGTTCCAAAAAAGGGCTTTGACATTACTTTGAAAACAATAAACAAAAGTTATTTATAGCATTTCCGTAGCCAATTAAGCGACCTATTTCGGTAAATATTGAACAAAATATCTCAATATTTACTTTGACAGTGGCTAAGACAGTTGATATCCATTAAACAAATAATAAATACGATAAATGGCTAACTGACATTATTCATTTAGCGTTTTGTGTCAATATTTACTTTAAATAGTGCAGGAAATCAATGGTCGTCGCCATTTTGGATAAAACGGGCACTTGATTGGTACACGTGACATGTTGCTATAGACAACACCAAGCACAGGATATGGCTAAAATTATATCGATATCGATATGATCTCTACGAAGCGGAAGGCAACATACAAATGTAGTAAATAATTGCAGTATGAAAACACTTTGTTAGTCAAATGTTTATCATCCCTCTAGTACGTTTTTAAAAGATATTTGGATGTTTTATCATCCCACCTTTCAAATTAATACACTTTCTAACAAACGAGGAGTTCAATTTAGAACTAGATCTACAATACATAAATACATACATGTACTTGTAAGTACTTTTTTACCAGTTATTAATGTTTGGCAATTTCTCAGTCCAGTTATTTATGAGTACTAGTATGCTTATTGAGAAAGAGGCCGCGATTTGGGTTAATGTTTTTGTGAACAGTATTCAAATTTCAAATTTCATTAAATATCTACTTAAAATGTTAACAATTAAATATCTAAAATGCTCAATTAATGAAGAAAAAACGATATCGTAAAGTCAATGTATACAGTTACATGTACGTCTATAATATTTTTGAATGACCATTAAATGTGCGTTATGAAGAAGAACATATTTCACTAAGAAATGAAGAGTTTCAAAGACTAAAAATGTGCATTTTATTGCTATCCAATCGATCTTTTGTGCACTTTTAAGAAATAAAATCATCGAAATTTCCATAATGCATCAGTACATGATTCTCAATTGGAGACGAATAAAGAAACACTCTTGTAACAACCACACTTATTATCTAACGTTAAAAGGAACGCCCTAAAGTCAGTACAGGTAGTAAATTCAAAAATAGAAAAGTTGAAATAGTTAACAACAGTTTAAATTACTGTAAATTTCAAATTTCTTCAGTAGGGTGCACAAATATTTATTTCGCACAACTGATCAAAGTGGTTTCTTTCCTCAGTCCTCGATCAGCAGAGTAACTATAAATTCTAATAATAACTGAAGAATTGCGGGAAGATCACTGCGTAAAACATTCCAGTCAAGCTGCTCTAATACGACTCATAGAATCCTTCCTTAAATTAATGACTTAAGTACATGTAGAGGACGGTTGTTTGATATGCACAATATATTTAGACCTAAAGAAAGCATTTGATTTGGTACATCACAACATATTGTTACAAATGTTAAAATTATACAATTTCTCAAAAGCCTCAATAAACCTGTAGAATCTTGCAAGTTGCCATTTATCACATGTTATCTAATATGTCCACATTTATGGGGTTACTTATTATTTAATGAAAATAGAAAACAGTTTGTCAAATATGAAACGATCATTCAAATAGTGGAACAGTGAAATAAGTGGTCCCCTAGGGGTCTTTACTAGGGACGGTCTTTACTCTTTATTTTTTTTTTTACGTTAATGATATGTCATTAAGTACAACACACTCTAACATAGACACGAAGCCTGACGATACTATTATGCATGCATAAGATAAAACATTGAAGTGATCCAAAGAATCCTGCAATGTGATTTTGATAACATAAGTAAATGTGTAAACTAAACAACATGGCAATAAATCCAAAACTGAATTTGAAGAAGTGAATAAATTGCAGAAACGCGCATCGAAGATAAAAACATGTTTTGTGTAAATCGGTAAAATCAAACTGGTTATTACACGTTTTAAAATAGATCCACTTATCATACTGCAATATACATGTATTTAAGTAATAACAAGGATCGACTTCTTCCTAATTTTCAAATATTATTACTGCATGTAGTAGTGTTCTCGAAAATGAAAACATATGCACTTAGAGAAACATGAATTAATACATGTAAGGCCTAATAATACAAAATATGTTAAAAGAACTTATAGAAATAAAGATATGCAAGTATGGAATAATTTATATCTATATATACAGTACTGGACACGCGAAACCCGCACAATTCGCGTATTCGCGGCAAACTCTCATGCTTTAAAACCCGAGCAAATTCGCGGCAACTTGAGACAATTGCCGCGAATTCAACTCGCGGCGATTTTGCCGTGAACATTTGCCGTTATTCGCGGGGAATAATACATGTTCATTTGTATAATAAATGTAGATCTATTTATAATTGTACTCTGTGAACTTGAAACCAGATATACATGTACAAGTACGAAAATTAATTAGTAGATCTACATGAAGTTGTATCAAGAAAATCTTGTAATTTGCTAAAATGCCCTTTCTCTATTTATCTTTGATGCCAACAGCAAATATAAATAACCACGGCGAAATCAAATAACACCGTTAAAAACTTTCCGTGAATGGCGGAATCATGACCTCAAATTCAATGTATAAATGCGACGCAGTACAAGTATGCGGCTCCATCGGCAGGTAAATAGTGTACATGTTATTGTACACGTGTAAAAATATTTTTTAGGGGGGATACATATTGAGTTTAAAGTAGAGATATAAATATAATATATGTGTAAAAAGATATTTAGTTACATAAAAAGATACATAATTGATACGATATTAACTTGTTCATTTCTAATTGTATCCCCATATTGAAAACGTTACATAAGACATAAATTCAAGCATGGTCAAATTACCGATGTGATAAACTAATCCTGCGTAAATATTCCCGTACGACCTGGAAGAGTTATAGTGGATCACCGGGCCATTTCGTTCTCTAGGGTGATCATTACTCAATTTATTACACGTCTGTAAAAAATAACACACGCAAGATTTGTCTCCTATAATTTCTGAATGGCGGATATTTGCACCCCTGTTTTAAAAATGTTAAAATATTTAATTGTTAGTTACCGAAAATTATCGCCGATTGTTGAAATTCCATAGCGCTAAAAGACACAAAAACACTCCCGCAAAAAGAAGCATCCATAAATAAAAGGAATATAATGTTTCCAATGTTAAAAAATAAATACAAAATTTACGCACGAAATGACCTCTGACAAATGACTGGTCGGCTCTTCTGAAGAATCTGTGAATCTTTGATGTTTACACACCTGTAGTTGTTGCCGAATCATCAAAGAAATGCCGACACTCGATTGACTTCCACCTCTTTTTTATATATCAGAAAAAAACTGTCATTTCTTTTTGTCAAGGAATGATTACACATGTTTAATTATTGCTCAAGTAAAAAAAAATGTTGGATATTGATTGTGTCAATTATTGACATATTATTAATCGTAAGTGCATTTTGATTGTGATATTTTATTTACATTTTTATGATCTTGAAGATATTGTGCAATACTTGTGTCTGCTATCAAAACAATAATGCATATGAAAGGACCACAGCTTCCAAAAATTTATTTTTTCGGTCAATTTTATGACAGAATCCCCGCTGCTACAATTTACAATTTTCAACAATCATAATTAGCGTATAAGACGTAATAATTAGTTACACCTGTGAATCGGTGCTAAATGTCGCTTTGCATTGTTCTAAAAATAGAATATGTGCGAAAGTAAACAATGGATTTTAATTACATTTGTATTATTATCAAAATAACAATTGGACAATTTGTTATCGTGCGTTCTTTGATGTAGTACCAATTACCTTTTGTAATTTCAATCTCGTTTTATTGTTAACTAATTTTCACCAGCACCTGATTGCTTTGTTTTAGTATACAAAATGTATACGCTGTACATGTTCAAATGCTAAATATTTATAAATATACATGACATTTACAAGATTTTTTTAAAGTTTTAGAAATTAAAGACCACGGGAATGACCAAGTAGTACTTTCTAATACAATTATTGCTGAAGATTCGCCGTAAATTACGGCGATAAATCGCGGCGATTTTTCGTGAACCGCCGTGAAATTCGGCGAACTTGCACGCGGCGATGTTTTACCGCGTAGTGTCCCGTCGCGACATAGACTACACTCGCGGCATAACGCGACTTTTGCGGGTTTCGCGTGGCCAGTACTGTAAAAGGATACTCGTTTTTATTTTATGCTTTTCAGTGGATTACTGATTTATCCGTGAAAATTATATTTGATAATTTCGCAGTGAAAATTATCAAAATATAATTTCACACTTTTCAATGACGAAACTACTTTTTTAAGATTTTCCCCATGTGGCACAGTCGCACCTCAATTTTAATTTTGCTGACTATTCCGACAATGTCAGGCTGTAACGTGTTTAAAGAAAAGCAAAGCTGAAATTGATAAATAACTTATATGTCACAAGTAATAAAAAGAAGAAAACTTACAGTAAGTTACTTCTATTCATTCAAGTTACCAATCACCAAATATCGTCTCTTTAATTTTTTGTTTCATTTTTACAGTCTGAAAAATACATTCCTTCCGAATTACAGTCAACCCTGCCCCAAGTTAACCCGGCCCCAAGTCAACCCGGCCTCAAAATTGGTCAACCTGGCCCCAAAATTGGTCAATCCGGCCCCACAGTATTTTTATTTGGTCAATGCGGCCCCAAAATTGGTCAGTGCGGCCCCAAAATCGGTCATTCCGGCCCCAATATATATATTTTTCAAAGAAAAGTGATAATGAATAATTATATAACATCAACATCATATGTTCATCAACATTAATTCAGATGTGATAATCAAACAGTTTAAAGCAATCAATCAACAAGAAAGTATCTTTCATGTCTTTATTCGATGTAAATTAAAGATGGTTTCGTGAGTGTTAATGCGATAATTAGGAAGAAATGCATTTATTTCGAGTTTAAATGTTTGTGTAAATTAAGTTTCCAACAATCTTTTTTTTCAGTTCATTTTAATGTTTTTATTGAATACGTTCATCGGTATAATTAATTTAATATTTGTTTCGTTTTTTATTAACTTATTTTCAAAGAATATTTACTGTGTAAAAAAGTTTTGGAATATTACTAGTGTTTGAAAAATTGATATTGTTTTGTGTTTATATAATCACTTTATGTCGTTATGACTGATAACTGCATTGATTGTGAATATATTGTGCGTAACAGAATAGATGAATACCATAAAACTCAATAATGTCTGGATACTTTTTTTTAAATATACGAGTACAATCTTAGAAAAATGTAAAATTGCCTCCTATATAAGTATATATCTCATACCTCATATTGTTAATTGCTTAG